CCAAAAATTTTCTGTTGAGCGGGGGAGGGGGGAGGGGGTAAATAGCACATGTAAAACGGTAAAAACGCGCGAAAAATCGCCTGCTTCTGTTGGGGAAAATTTCTAGTGGCGAGTGGTGTTCCAACTTAACGGTCAAGCTCGACTGTTCGTAGACCCACAAAGAACGAGATATTGACTCGAGAAATTCGATAGGAAAAGGTTGATTGACTTTTCACTAGTTCTCTAACAAATTACAGGAACACTGGTACAGTCAGAGCAGTAAAGATTGTGGGTCTAGGGTCCGCAAGCCAAGGCCGCAGGTGTGAGGACATGCCAACAGCAAGCGCGCTCCAGTCCGAGACAATTTGAGGACGAGTTTTCCCAGTCACTTTACGTTTTTGGCGGTAATGTTGAAATAATTCAATCTCATTTCTGCCGAAGGGTTTTCAGTTGTCTATTTGCAGAGTATGAAGAAGAGGAGAAGAGAAGAAGGTAGGAATAGTTAGACAACAATATTGCGTTCATTTTTTATTAGCTGTTAATGAGATGACATGTTCTAGAGCTAAGAAAGGAGATTGCGAGAACTACGGATGAAACGAAGCAGTTGGATCTGGTTAATGAATTAGGAGACCTATACAGACTTGATGGCGATTTAGAAGCAGCTCGAAATTCTTACAAAAAAGGTACTGAACCATTTTAAGTCGTTGTAATGCAGTAACCTCGATTGGTTGTCTTTCAGCTGTTCAACTGGCCACCGGTCTCCGAAACTACCTGGACCTTTCCTTCGCCTATCGAGCATTGTCTGAAATTTGTGCGGAAGAAGGTTTGCTTCATTACTTCTTGACACGGTCTTGTTTCAAGAACACAATATTTTGAACGATATGTAGCGCTAGAAATGAATATCATAGTCATGAATAGGGCTTTTAAGGCTGAACTCTACCGCGAAAAGTTGGTGAATCGATATCTATCAACGTGGGCGGGGTCACTGACTTTTTGGCGGAGTCACTTGTACAACCTTGCGCGTTCCCGCAGCTACCTTACAACTTTCTGACGCGAAACTCGTTCAGAGTTATTCTTTGCGGTTTCCATTATCCCCCTTCAAAGTGCATAGATACTTATAGATGGTCGTGGGCCGCGTCTTTGATAGCTCTCGAACAGAATGAAGGGATTCCGAGACCTTCACTGAGGGAACTGTTCGCACTAAACACGTTGGACAGATGAGGAAAATATGGGCGTAGTATGCCGAGGGGCGGGGGGGGGGGCGATTTTGCACTTTCGTGCTTCCGTTCTGGTTTACAAGTGCTCACTCGGGTGGAACGCTGTGAACTGTTGTGTGGAAGCTAGAGCAAAGTTGCGTCAAAGCCATCATGGTAAAAACCTGTATAACGAGGCATGTCTAAGATGGCGGCGACACGTCAATGGAAATTTCGTAAGCTGCCAAGAAATGCCCCCCCCCACAGCCGTCGAACAACCAGCGCCGGGAGTCTATTGTGTAGATCTTCCCTTCTAACGACCTTATCAAACCTGATCAACTGTTTATCACTTCCTCCCACAATAATGTTCCCGTTCGCGGCCTCGCATACGCAAGCTTTCTCATATGCAACTTCTAGGAACCACATTCTCGCTGTTCCCGCGGGGCACGTGGAGAGCTCAGTGACGCCCCCTTCCTGATACCCCTTATCAGTACTTATCAATTGTTATTACTTCCTGTCAGCCACCAGTAATGTTCCTGTCGCACCACTATATCATTTATCAATTCGAATTGTCTACGGCTAAGCCGAAGGTGCGAATTTTCGGGCAAACCCACGCACACGCTCCAACAGACAAACTTAACGGAATATATAGTAGGATTACCATTGAAGGGCAAGTGGCTCATATCTGATGGTATTACTAGCAGCCGACAAATTGCTTTGAATAATTCGTTTCAAGGTGATAGGAAAGAAGCGTTGGAGTATGCGTCGCTTTTCCGACAGACAGCGCAGCAGAGCGGCAGCCATTCACAGATCCAACTTCTCATTGCATGTTACTGGATGGGTATACGAGAAATTGAACATGCAGCAGTCACACAATACAGCTGATCTCGAGGAGGTAATAAGAAGTGATTTGATTGCTATTCAAATTCATCTATGGCTTTTTTTCAGGCACTATCATGGTGTTTGAAGAGCGTAGACTACATCAAGAAATTCGGGCACAGAATCGACACTGATAAAAAAGCCGTCAGAGTGGGTGGCGATTCTGCCAGGAGAAAAGCAGGTCTGGTACGTGTTCGTGTGCAATTTTGATGCATATCTACTTCCCTGAAAATATAGGGCTTTTGAATTAATCTCTTGACCTTCCTGAGGCGGAAACATACGTAGGGGAGGGAGGAGGAAGGGAGGGGGAGAACACATGGGGGAACGCCTACCTTCCTCCCTTCAAGACTTGAGCTCAGTAGAGTGCATTTGGCCAGCGAGCAGACGAATTGGGTAGCAGCGGGGTTCCACGGCTGCAGAAAGGTCCTCTACACCTCCTAGCGTTAAAGTAGCTTTTCGGAGGTAGTTGCTGAAAGAGTATGCTCAAATATTCTCCAGCTTCTCTCTTCTTGTAACCTCGGCATGTTAGTTTTCAATAATTCAGTGTTATATTGTGCCTCACGAGGTTTTTAGGTGGAACTATTTATTTAACGGCCTGACGTTTCGACTAATCGTCTTCTTCAGAGGCCTTTGTTCCACCGTAGACGCGGAAATCCGCTATTCCATAAGTCAACCAGTAGCGAAAAAAATAAAAGAATAAATAGTTCCACCTAAAAACCTCGTGAGGCACAATATAACAGACTGAGTATGCTCAAAGTTTGCTTAGATGACCTGTTGAAATATCGGTTTCATAGAGCAGAATGTTAGAATTGTTGTGAGTGCAGTTGGTAGAAAGTAATTGAACTCAATTAATTAGTTTGAATTACGCGTAAAAAGTCAGCAGCAGTTCCCTGGTTACTTCGGAAGTTTACCTTGGTTTCAGGAACGGCTGTGTTCAGGCCTTTGTGCGAATCTGCAACGTAAAAGTGAAGCCGAAAAATATTGGAATTCTGCATATTCGTACGCGAAGTAAGTTATAGTGTTTACTGTTTTTTTTCATATTTTGCATCTTTTCCTTTCAGAAGAACTCACGACGCAGATTTGGAGTATCAACTTTTACTTGCTCGAATAGATTTTTCTTGGGAATCGCCGGTTAATAATGCTCAAAGGCTTGTTAATTTTGCTCCTACAAAAAAGAAAGGTTATGC